AGGCCTTCGTTACGTGATTGACACAAGACCGTAACCTCCGCATCCCTGGGAACATTAGGAATGAATAAGGAACAAAGAATCAAAAACTAAATGAAAAGCTAAAAGCAAAAACTAAAAGACGAAAAGACAAAAGAAAGGAAGGGGCGGAAGACACAAGAGGGACGAAAGGCACGAAAAAAATACTGTCTGGTATGGGGGGGAAGCAGAGATTATATACTCACTCCCGGTTAAACTCGCACTTACTAAGTACTTACTTAGCTGCTCGTATCACGGCGAGGCTCAAACAACTGCCGCGGTTACCTCGAACTTTCGAGCGATAATTGCTTTAACGGCAATCATGTTTAATCACGCTACAGCAAGTAACTACTCATGATGTCGTCACTCGTGAGCCGGTAAGAATATTGCCTCGCGGAGTTTCGGTGTCCTATCGTCACCCGGAGGCCGGGCCAAATCTCCGGCACACGGCGTACCAAATTACTTTGCCGGTTTGGTCAAATTGTCCGGAATCCGATAGCGGCGTTCATCACAAACACCGGGACACGGCATATTAGCCACAATACCGAGAGATATTGACGATGCCGTGATACGTACTACTTTCGCTGCGGGCTGAGTATATAGTCGAGGCTTTTTCTCCTGTATCTGACATTATTCTCTTCGTGCTTTTCATCCCTTCCGGTGCCTTTTGTTCCCTCTTGTGCCTTGCGCTCCTTCTTTCTTTTGTCTTTTCGTCTTTTAGTTTTTGCTTTTAGTTTTTGCTTTTAGTTTTTGCTTTTAGTTTTTGATTCTTTGTTCCTTATTTATTCCTAATATTCCTAGGGATGCGGAGGTTACGGTCTTGTGTCATCCACGTAACGAAGGCCTGCCTTCGATTTCCCTCAAACAGGATTGGCACCCTGTTTGAGAGAAGTCGTGGGTGGGCCTTGTTTGCGTTAGATCGTTTTGACCACTGTATAAGCAGTGCTCGCGAGTTTTGTGCCTCCTGATAATCGCAGCCGCATGATCAAACGAAGTTTTTAGAGATAGAGCTCTGATCTATGCCGTGAAACATCGAGTGACCTACAATGACTATCATTCGGCAGAGGTTAGGCCGCGGGTAATGTAGCGGCGAAGGCCTGCGGAGTCGTTCTGGATATCGAATAAGGACTATGTCGTTGAGCTTCAGCATCCTGGGGAGTATACGTAAGAGGGGTCGGTTCTCGCCCCTCTGCTCCACAAGCTCCCCCCCCCCCCGGGTGGCCGGGACCTTTAGACGCCGGCAATTTTCCTTTGACATTCTCGCGCCATACTCACCCGCACCCGGTGCCTTCGATCCGTAGAAACGTATCGGTATTCTGCCTAGCAGGCTCCGATGAGTCCTGTGTTTACGCCTCCTTCTGGAGTGTAACAGGCCCTCATGGATCACAGAAACCACGAATGACAGAGAAGAAGCTCCGTTTATTTCATAGTTTTGAGAACTTTTGCATTCGTTGTATATTAGTTGCAGTAAAGGAAGTACTTGTCTGTGAAATCTGGACGCTCGTTGCCGCCTCTTCAGGAGTAACCTGCTTGTGACGCCTCCCGGAAAACATTATGTCTGGCCCGCAATGCTGTGGTAGACAAATATCCCTGCGTTGGTTGTCAGCGGCGATCACCCAAAATCGTAGTGTATTAATTCTGTATCGTTCAAAAAAACATAGGATCTTGCGCCGTACTATTTGTCGAATCTTGGAAGTAGACATGAGCAGGGGCCCGGTAATGTTCCCCCGCCCCCACATCAGGGAGTCGCCGTATGTTATGTCCTGTTACACAACCCGCAGATATCATTCTACGGCGAAAATTCAAAATCACGTGGCATAACTACAATAGAATCATGAGTTATCACCATCTATTAACCCTCCGCCTACCTACAAAACCGCTGGATCCTTTGCAATCAGTATTATCAACCAAAGACACCCGCTGAACCAAAGACATTCATCATTGTTTCTCCAACCAATCATCTATCACTACTACGACAACTGATCAAAATGTTGCCCAGGACTCCGACTCCCGCTCCTGAGTCCCCAGCTATCAACATCGAGCTCGTCGATGTGGAATTGGGCCTCCCAACCCCTCAGGCCTCTCCACGGGTCGCCGCTATCTCTGGCCTTGCTCCCCCCGACATCACGCGCATGCCCACTCCCATGCCGCCCGCTCATATGATGCCTCCCAATCCCACCCCGCGCCCATTCTGCCCTCCTTCTAGTCCCAATGGCTCCGCCACTACCCTGACTGCTGGACCCCCACCCTATGAGGCAACTGCTCGCCCTGCCAGTCCCTTCAACCTCAATTGGGTTGAACATTTTGGTGGTTGGCGCATGAGAGATATCAGGGGACGAAATGTCATCCTCCCTTACGCGAATACCACCGCCAATAGGAACTCAGACGAGATTGATGACCTGAAGCGTTGGAAGATGTTGTTCGTGGGTGCTGTGGCGGCGCTCATGGTTTTTGTCGTTTTTGTCGTTTGTATTTACTTAGGCCCTGGCCAGGGTGGTGTTAACGGTCCTGTGGGGGGACAGCCTGCGCAGCCATCGCGCACCCCGCGTTTGTAAGGAGGCGTTGTGTCTACTCTTGATTATGGAATGTTTGTTTATTTGCCGAGCGTTGACTGCCTGCACCGGTGCGAGAGTGCGCTTTGAACATTTTTAACCGTCCTAAATTCACATAATAAATTGCCATAAACATACATGACACCTAATCCAAACACCTATATCCGTGATACATAGCGCCTAGTGATAAATGCTTTACCTACAAACTCTGAAAGCACATTGTCCTAGTAGCCAAGCTCCAAAATCAAGCTTCATATATCACGTGATACCTCATGCACCCCAACAACTACTTGCCCCACTCCTCCTCCAATTGACATCCCTCCTCTTCCTCTTCGGTAGTTTCCTCCTTGAACTATTCCTTCTCACAACCAATTCCCCAACCTGGCAATCATAATCGTCACCACCATCCTCCCTTGGTTCAATAACGATAACCGGTAATACAATCTTCCTCCTCATCTCCCGTCTACGTTTTTTGAGAAAGTCTTTCGCGCAAGGTGCAGGTAGAAAGTTGTAATCGTTCGTTCCAGCGAAGATTGGCCCGCCGGTTGTGAGGGTTGAGACTGGAGACGGGGGTTGGATCTTTATTTTCGGAACATTAGGTCGGCGGCGTCGGCGAATTTGATAACCGCGGAGTTGGCAGCCGCAAATAAGGCGGTATGGCGGTTTGAACAACATCGTGGGTTGAGGGATGGTGGTTGAAGATGAGGTTTGAGATTTGCGGTCCTGATGGTACATAGCGAGGTTCGAACGTGGAGCAGGGGTCCACATGCGGAAGGACCGAGAACATGGCTTGGCACAATCAGGATCATTCGAGAGCGGCTTTTTGTTCTTGTTTGCATTACAGAACTCTAACAACCGCATCAACACCTAACGATAACCGAGCTGCATAATGGATCCGCCGACTGAATCAAATGCAAAACTCGGAGCGGAGGATAGCGGTCATCTCAGGGTGCGATCAAATACGGAAACTAGCAGATACAGCAACTCAGCTGGACAGGAAACCACCGCTAGTTCTGTTCGAGACAGCAGCTACTCCTTTTACCAGTCGCAAAATGAAGGATCGGTCGTCAATACTGAGCCTGATCCATTGGATACTACCCGCCGTCGCCGCCGTGTTATCTCATTTCCAAAGGTTGCGCGGTCCTCAACTGGTTTTATGCTCAATCAACGGCACACTGTGAACTACGAAGATTGCGTCACCTCGCCTTTTGAACAAGAAGAAGAGGAATATGAAGATGAAGATTCAGACTGGGTTGAACGTGAAAGAGTTTCTCGGCAGTTGGATGAAGTATTCTCCAAGGGCGCAGACTATGCAACCATTACGAGAGGACCTACGCAACGCCGCAATAGTCGTTTAACTTTCTTCACCACCAAGTCTGGAACGGAGGATAATCCATGGGAGCGAGATGAGTAAGTTTCTTCCCATTCAACTAGCCCAAGAAGCTGCTGCTGAATTCTAATAGTGATCTTAATCTTGACTACGATTCCGATACCTACGAGTACCACGACCCCTGGTATTCCTCCACCATCACGAATGGAAAATTCGCTCGCGGCGGACAAATTGCCGATGTTTACGACGAGCTCTCAGGAAACGGAATTCGTTACTGCGAGCGGAAAAAGAAAGAACGCCGTCCGACCTCTTGGTATGGAAGATTCTTTCTGTGCCGCTGGGTTTTGGACGTGTATGATCGCGGATGGATGCTGCACGTCGTGATTGTGATTATGACTGTTGCTTTTGGATTTCTTTCCAGTATCTGTTCACGGTAAGTTCCAAGAAGACGTCTCCGTAATCTCAGTCGGGCTAATAGATGGTGATAGTTTATGTCCGGATAATGCATGCAGGGTGAACGATATTAACAATATCGGAAGTTTGTAGAGGGTGCAATTTAGGTTACGAGATTGAGTCCCATATCAACCGATGCGTCATAGGTTATCTCTGCTCAAATTGGGTCAAGTTGTTGGAATGAGATTCAATTGAGTGTCATATTTCTGGATTTAAGAAGCTAGTTAGCCGTAGTTTAGTCTCTATAAGACTGATTTGTCGTTCTAAACATCCGTCCTTCATACCGTACGTCGTGCAAAAGCAAACAGAAGAGAATAGGCGTTGGAAAACCAACCCCAGTTGAAACCTGAAATGCCATTCCTTTGGAACCTTTTTCCCAAAAAACATGCAATGTACCTCCTTACATCTTCCAGACTGCACCGTGGAAATACCAAACATGACCACAAATCCTCTGAACAATAGATCTCCACAGCGTTTCTAAGAGCAGCTATGGTACGTAAGTGATTCCTCGTCCCTGCTCACTCTGGTACCAAGATTCCCAGAATAGAGGTGGAAGACGACCCCCGGGTCCTCGGTGCAGGGCTTTAACGCACCTACAGGTAAAACAGCCGCTGTTTATACAAGACGGCCTGCAGGCTCCTAAAAAGCAGGTGCCGTTGGTGTAATGGTAACATCCTACTTTCCCAAGGTAGGGCAGTGGGTTCGATTCCCGCACGGTGCATTTCTTTTTGATCTTACTTTTGACAATACTCCGTGAGGTATATAGCACACTCAGTGATCTCCATGGTTTCTTTTTCTTTTGCTCGCGTCTTCTACCTCGTTCCGTGTGACGTCAACGGCATCTTACTTTTACAGTAGATACAGCTCGTAATGCTTCGTCACCTCTCGTTCGTGAACTAAAGACACTCTGAAAAAGAGATGGAGCACTGCTCCAATGTTCCATGCACCGGGAATTGATGCAGTTACAGGTAACTCTGCCGCAGCACTCATTGGCCGGCAGTCTCTGCTCTTCAACAGACGGTGCCGTTGGTGTAATGGTAACATCCTACTTTCCCAAGGTAGGGCAGCGGGTTCGATTCCCGCACGGTGCACATTCTTTTGATAACCCGCGAGGCATCATGTTCGTTGACAGTTGACCACCAGCAATGATTTTCCTTTTGCCTCTGCTTACTTAGTCTTAGCTGGAAGAAAGCATAATGCAAAATCGGCAGAGAATGCTCTACTCTCCTTTTGTCGGAGCGCAGCGTTCTGTTTTTTTGGTTGTGTATTGGTAGAAGCGTGCGACGCGACCACTATGTCATGGTGTGGGTTATGTATTATGTAGTTCAGTAACCTCTATCAAAGGACTAGAGGCGACGATGGCCTTGCGGTTTGCTAATGTCGTGTTCAAGCCGATCTGTCTACGTGCGATCCACGGCGGTTGACTTAGCCTTCGGGTGACCAGTTTTGCTGCGGCTGTAATGAGGCTCTTTTTTCGCTGTGGGAGGGTGATGGCTTCATGGATGGTCACGCGGCTCGCCACGGATTGTTACTAGGCGGATTCATGGACAACCACGCGACCAGTGAAGTGAGCATTAGCTCTCATTACACAGTACAGCTGATATTCACGGCCTGCCCAGTGAAATTCAGGTGAAACCTTGTGTTGTAAAATGCGGCTCGTTGTTTTTTTCTTTCGCTGAAGGGCTGGCACCGATCCCGACATCACACATCATTCATCACCATATGTAGTTGAAATCATTCCTAATCGTCCAGTACTACAGCAACCCCAATATCAACCCCTAACACCATTGAATAGCCAAAAACTCTGACACGCCAACGTCAACCCTAATCGACCATCCCCCAATGGTCACCTCCTACAAAACCACCTTCGATCCACATTCTGCTCCTCCCCCATCCACCACATAACCATGGATCCCAACACGCCTACGTCCAGCTCCCTCGAATGGGAACTCTCTCTCTCTACAGCAATCGCGGATAACTACTCATCCTTTATCTCACCACCCCCCGGCCATGACCAGAACTCCATTATCGCAGAGTGGATGAAAGACCCCCGCTACAACATTTTCGACACGAAATCCCAGCCTTTACAAACCCAAATCAACGGAGTTCGCCAATATGTTATTCGCCTAATTAATAACTGGAAAGTCGAATGTAAACGTCGCTTGACCACATTTATATACAACATCCCGTTCTCGATCAATGATTCGAAGATCCAGGATCAGGTTTATCGTCTGCTAACTCCCGCGTTGCAACCGTATCATGAACTGGAGATCCGTCAGAAGATCTTGGAAGAGAGAATAGAGGAGAAGGATAGACTTAGCGTCATTTTTGCTGATCGAAATAACGAGCCTTATGATGAGCTGAGGGAGCGGACTGTTATACCGAAACTTGAATTGGAGGATTATGATGATGACGAGTCGGATTATAGTGATAACAACCAGAACGGGATGGAGCAATCTGATGCTACTTCCTCTGAGGTGATTGGAGACACGCGAGCCGGAGACACCATGAACCCGCCAACGATTGGCGGCACAGGTCAGGAATTTGATATCGAGGGTTTTTTGAACTACTTGAGAACAAAAGATCTACCCCCAGATGTATTGTTGTCTTATTCCCCTGCAGTCTATGCCGAGCTGGAACAGCTGCGCCAGCAGAGTTACGAATCAGGACAATACTCTGTTCAAAACTCCACAGTCAGCGGCGTTTCTTGTGCCGACACGGATAGGTTGACAGCAGACATTGGAGACGCAGTCTCACCTTTTAACGGGGCATTCAGCACTGATGGTCTCACCAACAATATCGAACCTACCGGTAACATCAACAGCGATTTGGCGTTCGACCACCCTGAAGACTATACCCAAGAGCTAGACGGGGTTGAAACTTCAACGATTACCCAAGTTTCTTGTCCTGAACCAGATATGTCTATCTCAGTCACACAGCCTGACATTGATCCATCACTAGATCCGTGGGCAAGGGCAGAAGCACTCAACACTGCAATTACGCGAAAGCCGGAATCATTTACCCGCCACAAGCCAAGCGATGCCGACTTTGAGTGTCTGGATGACATTGGGCCACAAGACGCAGGTCAAACTTCGACAAACGGTGACGTTTCTTGTCCCTACACCGATGAGATGTCACCAGAAGCATTTGAAGCATTCAAGACTGAACTCGCGCAAAACCAGATGTTGGCAAAAGACTTTGTTCAAACCAATGAAGAGGTCGATGAGTGGTCCTGGATGAATCAAATGGAAGGCCAAGATGCTGATGCAGTCTCAAACCCCAATGGGGAAGCGACACCGGAATGGCTCAAGGAACTCAATACTACTGATCTCGCGCTAAAGACTGATGCTGACGGTACCATTATCTGCGAGGACTTCGACCCCGCTTACTTCAAGCCTGCAGAGTACACTCCGATTGATGTGAACCATCCTGTGGGCCTGGATGCTTTAGCCAACTCGGTTGAGAATAACACTCCTTCTTCCTATCATGAGCCGTCTTATAACTTCAACAATAACTCTAATGGCTCTTACGTCTCAGAGGTGAACGGTGCTATTTTCAAGGGAACTGAGTACTTGATTGACCCCGCCCAGAACTACGGCATTGATCCCACTGCTTGCGGTAAGTAAAAGACTCCTTCCCTTTTTATTGTTCTGTGACTAATGCTAGGTGTAGACTCAGACTCGGCAAAAGATGTGGATTGGGATAAGCACATTGCATCCATCAATTGGGAGGAAATCCAGGAGGATAAGATGTACTGGGATTGGTGGCACAAGGAGCAGGCGCAAACCAACGCAGAGAACTAACTTGTAAGCGTAGTGTGGTAACTGAAGGAGGCGAAATCGACGGAGCGGGATAGGTGGCGATTTACTTACTCTGCTATTGTCACAGCGTTATACTTAATCTACGTTGAGATACTTCTTTACTTAATGTAACGAGTTTCCCAATAACTTTTATCGTCGACTTTCAAAAATAAAAATGATGCGTCACAGTAGTCATCATGTATCACTCGTACTATGTGGAGATGAGATAAAAATATGGAGGAGCGGCGAATCGAACGCCGGACCGCCTCTATGCTAAAGAGGAATTATACCACTAAACCACACCCCCATTTCATAATTTTTGTACTCACCAACTCAATTCAGCCAGTTAAAATACTACTTACATTCGCCGCCAACTTCCGCGGACCCGTTTCACTCCACTCCATTTCACTCGTAGTTGCCGCCGTTCAATACGTGACACAGCAGCGGCCAAAAGAACGGCAAAGCGACATGTCACCCCTCCCTATTCCTCTTATAAAAGCCTCTCCGTCTTTCCTCTTTTCTTGTCCTTCGTACATACCGTACGAACTTCCTAGCTCATAAAGTAGAATGTTCCGGAGTGACGATCACGGTTACTTCGTGACTGCCCATTTTGGTCAGCACAACACTTTGTGGCATTTTTTTTTTGTTTCTTTCAGTATCTTCATTGTGGTCCTGGCTGTGGTGAGGATGCAAAGAAGAAGTGGTGGTGGTGGAGTGAGATGGAACTGATCTGGGTTACATGTGAATTTTCAATTTTGACTCGTAACAACGATAAGAGGCTGTAGAATTCAAACAAGGTACTTTTAATATTTAATCGTCATATCATAATCAATGAAATTCACAATTTACAGCAGCTGTGGCATAGTTATATCCCAAGACTTCGAACTGTAACAAGACACAAAGGAAACCCAACGAACAAAGGAATGTGACGCCTGCGATGCTAAAAAGACCGACGGATAAAAAGATGATGCATTAACGTGAAGAAAATCAGATGATTCCAAACGCGGGCCAGCCGCGCAAAGTCGTACATCGTTTGCGTTGAACCATTACTGCTCCCCCTCACTGTCACTCCCAAAATGAGAATACATCTCGTCCACAATCTCGTCGATGAGCACAAGACAATCCTGCATGCTCTTTCTCTCCGCAGCTTGACGTTGCTTACTCTCCTTCCGGCGCTGATAAAGCTTCTGCATAGTCTCATGAATCTCGTGCTGCTTCCAAGATTGACTAGATCCCAATTCAACGTGCCTCTCGAACACGTCGTTGGCTCGGTCGTTGACAATCTTGGTCAATTCCTCCTTGGAAACATTTTGCGCTGGCTTCGCCGCCTGTGTTGGGAGAAGGATTCCCAGATTGATTTTGTCATGTTCGTAATAAATAGTGAAATTGCGGTTGATTTGCTTAAGGCGTCTAACTTCAGGTCGGTCGGCCTTTCTGCGAGGTGCGGGGCCTCCAGAAGACATTGTTGGCGTGTGTTGGCTGGGTAAGATTGGGAGAGATTTAGGGCGTTTCTGAGAAAAAAAGCCGGATTGTTTGAAAGGATAAATTTTAGAAGATAGATGCACGAGGGAGTGGGATTGTGAGCGATGATGGGAGTGCTGTAAAGTGGCAGAATCCACGGTATTTATCATCTTGGCGCCGAAGAAGTGGGGCTGATTTAAAGTTTTCGTTGTTAGCATCAATGATTCCCGTTGTAGTTTGTAGCATCATGTGACAGCTTTCGTTCAGGCCCCCATCACATGTTTGCACGGGAAGATAGACATCCCGTGCGGTTGGGGAAAAAAGAGGTCATTCGGATGATGGGACTTGCCTGTTGTAGCTTGTTGGTATTGTTTTTCGGGTGTTGAGTTTCAGTGTCACGGACTTCCAAGGCAAAACGGGTGTACGATAGCGATAACCGTTGGTATCTAAGCTCACGCGA